TGATTCAAACAATTTAATGTTGTTGCTTAACACTACTTAAAACCACCTCTGCCATAGGGAAACACGGATTTGTAGATCACACCCTTCCGTGCTATGCACCTAGGGTATTGACTGAGGGCTGTTGCTGCAGGCGTGGGTGGGGGGGGATGTTAATTCCTCAGCACATCCAACCTGTCACAGTGGGTGGAGTGGGTACTGGAGACCAGAGCAAGCCCTCAGGCAAAGAGATGCAGGTGCTGGCACCGTGCAAGTGCACAGGCAAGGGGGTGGGTGGCCATACACAGTGTAGGCTACACCTTCACAGGCCCTTTCCTCTGTCCCCCTCCCCTTAAGTATTGATGTTCCCATGGACGCCACCTTCTACCCTTTTCTCTTTTGCTCACATGTTTTCACAGGGCACCTCGTCCACTCCCATGCCTTCAGCTACCATCTGTTTGACAATAACAGCAAACAGTTAGTGATGCCTACTTCTTGCCAATGCCCTCAGATCTCCGTCTGGGCTCCAGCTGCCTTGTGGACATCCCCGCTGGGTGTTCCACTGCTCATGCAGACTTGGCTTGTCCACAAGTGGCTCATCATCTTCCTGCCTTATATCTTCCCATTCTCCGTGAAAAACATCACCATCTGCTCAGTTGTCCAAGCCAGAAACATGACACCATTCTGGACCTCACATGTGCTGTAGCCACTGCATTCATAGGCCATTGTCCCACGGAATCCACCCTTCAGATACCGTCAAGTTGCACACTTGCCCTCACCCCCATTGTTGCCATGGCCCAGGCCACCATCATCTCTGGCATGGAGAGTGGCCAAGGCCTCTAGCAGGTCTCCCCTCCTATATGTTTCCTTTCCTTTCAGTGTATTCTTGGCTCTCCTGAGAGAGTGGTCCCCCCAGCACATACAAGATCATGCTGCTCCCTTGCTTAGACCCTTCAGCGTGTCCTCACTTGCCTCTGCCACATGGGTCAAGTTCAGCTTCCTCAACCTCACTTCCAAGAGTCTTCAGTACCCATCTACTCCAACATAGGGTCTTCTCCATCACCCCTGGTGGCTAGCTGGGCTCAGAATCACTGAGAACCAAAGGGCCACCCTTCCCACTCAGTGTCCGTCTCCTCCCGGAATCCTGGCTCAGGAATTGTTTGGATACTGGAGGACACCTAGAATGAGACCCTTAGCCAGGAATCCCTATGCTCCACACCCAGACAGTCCATGGCAACCAGTCCAAGAGTGGAAGAGTGATATGATTTCAAAGTGGCCACTCTATCCTGCCAGATTACAACCTCTCTACTCAGGATAGTCTCTCGCGTCAAAGAGGCCTGGGTATGAATCCAGACTATACCACCGTCTGGCTGTGTAGACTAGTTGCTTAATCCCTCTGAACCTAAGTTTCATCATCTGTAATATAGATGATACATTCCAGGGTTGTTATGAGGATTTGGGGAGATAATGCACATGGACACTTATGTCTGAGGTCGAATTCCCCAGATTCGGACCTGAGATGAGAACTTGTGCACAAGTGATTTATAAAGGAAACACTCCCAGGGGAGACTGATAAGGGAAATGGGGAGCAGGACAGGGCAGGGGAGGAAGGTAGGGGGACCATCTCAGGCCAAGTCCCAGGAAGGGCGGCTTCAGCCTGACCCCTCAGGACCTCTGCAGTGTGAGTTGCTCCAGCAAAGGCAAAGGGCAGGGCATGACTGGTCAGCCATTAGTTGACGACAGGAAAGAGGGAAAAGCAAGATGGGCTTCAGTTGTCTAAGGACAATCCTCCAAAGACAGAAACACTAACAAGAGACCCGAGGAGATTGGTTGGAGCGCTAACATTGTCGATTATGACTTGGCACATTATCAACACTCAGTAACTGTTGGCCCTTGTTGTGACTATTGCTGTTATTATTAGCATAACAACAACAGCAAATTATTATTATTCATTTCCTTGGTTTGGGTGAGCTGAAACTTTCAGACAGATGCTCCTGCGCCCAGTGAATGACAAGGAAGTAAATCCAGTGGGAAGAAGAAGCACAACCCCAGCCAGGCATCCGAGATACTAGTGCCTGTTCCTCCATGGTTAACTTACTTCTGGAGCATCCCAACCTCCATGCCCCATCCCATCTCCCATCGGGTCTGAAAGAGAAGAGCTAGGCAGTGCTGGGAGGGCAGGTGGAGGCGGAGCCCTGGCCCAGGGCCCGTGTGGACAGGCATGAGTGCCTCCCTTGGGGGAGTGGGGGCAGGGACAGGGGAGGCAGCTGAGTTAGCAACCAGTACCCTAGTAAGGGGGCCTCTGCCAGTCCTGGAGGAGGGGTACCAGGAGGAAAGACTGCTGGAAGGGGAACGAAACCACCCTGTGGGTGGGGTGCCATGGAGCCTGTAGGGTATCATCCTCCAGCTCAGCCCTGACGCCTCTCTCCTGGGGTGGCCCAGACCACCCTACATTTCCTCTTTCCTCCCTGCAGCTGGGTGGGCTTTGTCCCAGCGAAGGGCCTGGTAGGCTGTGAGTGTGCGCTGCCAGGGGGTGTTTTAACAACATCTAGGCTGCCAAGAGTACATTATTCTCATACAAAAATCCAAAGGATTGCCCAGGAGATGTGATATTTTTGTAGCCCAAAAAAAAAGAAAAAAAAGTCCTCAAAGCTCTAGAAGTCCCGTCATGCTAAGGATAATAGTGGCTGTTTCAGAATCTAGCGTCTCTCTCAGGGAGTTGATAGGGACTCAGAATTTGCTGTTTGTTTGTTCAGACCTATTTACTGAATGTCCCCAGGACATTCCAGGTAGAAGGAACAACTTGTGCAAAGGCAGAGAGGTAGGAAAGGACATGTTTGACAGCTTCAGGGAGAGTATAACCTGAAGATCAGGACTTGGTTGCAAGTGATATAAATTTTATCTCAAACTGCTTAGGCAAAGACAAGGAGTTAACTGGTTCATATGATTGAAAGAACAAGGGGCTGGCTTCAGGCATGGCTGGATCTAGGGGCTCAAACAATGTTATCAGGATACAATCTCCCTCCATCTCTTGGCTCTACCTTCCTTACTGTTGGCTTTACTCTCAGGAAGGCTCTTGACACCCAGTGATTCAATCAGCTCCATCCTTACACCCTCCCAGCCTCAAACCCAGTGGAAAGGAAGAGATCCTCTTTCCTAGTAGTCCCAGCAAAAGTCCCGTGGCTGACTCTCATTGAACTGACTTGGATCATGTGCCCATCTCTGATGGGCCAAGCCCTAGAGTATGGGCTACACTTGAACCATGTGGCTAGTATGGCTTGGAGGGTAAGTCACATGGATGTGTTCCTAGCTCATTCCATCTTCCACTCTACCCTTTTTTCTCAGAAATCTTATCTTCTCCCACAATTTCATTTCTCCCTCCAGCCTTGAGCTCAGTTCAGAGCCTCTGGGCTCCATTTCCAGGCACCAGTAGATATATTGCCATGGTGTACCTTCCGTATAAAAACAACAGCTGTAACAATATCTCACATGAATTGAGCTCTCCCGATATGTTAGGCACAAGCTCTTGATATTGCTGTGTTATTGAATCCTTGTACATCATTGGGCCACTGAGCCAATCAGCCCTGAGGGCTACCCTACTCTGGACTTCTTTTTATATGAAATACATTTCCTTATTGTTAGGTTTAGGTTCTCTGTTGCCTGCAGCTATAAGCATGCCAACTTACATACACATCATTCTTGCCCTCAAGGGATGTCTTAGTCTGGGTGGTTCTCTAGAGGAGCAAAACCAGTGAAGCATGTATAAATATATACGTATATAGAAATTTACTTCAAGGAAATGGCTCATGCAATTGTGAGAAAATGGCCCACACAGTTCTGGGGGCTTGTAAATACCAAATCCGTGGGTCAAGTGGCAGGCTGAAGGCCTCTTCTGGCTCGTGTGATTGCAGGGGCTGATGAATCCAAAATCTGCAGGTCAGGTGACAGGCCAGAGACTTCTGCAGGCTTATGTCCCAAGAACTGGAGGTCAGGTGACAAGAAGAGTGCAGGGTTGAGAAAGAGCGTGAGCTTTGCCAGAACATCCATTTATGTACTGGAGGCAGGCCACACCCCCAAGGAAACTCCCCTTTCAACAATTGGCTGCTCACATCAGATCACAAACTGGAAGGGGATTACATCGTGTCTGCCAAACCACTGAGAATCATAGCCTAGCCAGGTTGACACATAACATTAACCATCACACGGGACACCTAAATTTTTATCTGACCTGTACCCTGAGATAGATACTATTATTATCCCCACTTTATAGATGAGAAAACTGAGGCACAGAGAGGCTCATTCCTGTCCTGTGCCATTTTCGTGATTGTTAGTATGTTTGAGTCCATTGTTGTGACTATTATCTCTGTCCTCCTCTGTATCCCAGGAGATTGACTCCTTGGAATTACATCCAATGGGGCAGGGCACAGGTCAGATAAAAATTTAAGTGTCCTCCGAGGGACAAGAATGATGTACATGTAAGTTGGGATGCTTATAGCTGCAGGCAATAGAGAACCTGACACAAAGCAGCTTAACAATAAGGAAATCTATCCTATATCCAAAGAAGTCCAGAGTAGGGTAGCTCTCAGAGCTGTTGATTCAGTGGCTCAACGATGTCATCTTTCCATCACTCTGCTCAGCAGTTACAGTGTCAGCTTCGTCCTATGGCCAGTGGCCCTTATGGGCATATGATGGCTTCCAGTAGCAATCGTCTGCCAGATGAGAAAGAGAAGGGCAGCCACAGGATAAGAATGCTTCCCTCCATTCCACCCTGGACCCATAATCGTCACTCAGAGAATGCCACGTTCCAGTTGGCTTAAGCTTGGTTTCCTTAGCCAGTCACTGGTGAGGAGGATGAGACTGCCATGATATCCTTAGATTAATCAGGACCCACGCCTAGAACTGAGGTCTATTCTAAAATGACTTGCTAGCTCTAATGGGTGTAGGGTAGAGTGAACACAGGGAGAGTCCACCATGGTGTGCCCCTCACCTCATGGCCTTTCTGCCTTTGTCACACAGGGGTCCTGTGGCTGTCGGTGGTCTCCGAGGTGCTCTATATTCTCCTGCTGGTGGTTGGCTTCAGCCTCATGTGTCTCGAGCTCTTCCACTCCAGCAACGTCATCGATGGGCTCAAACTCAATGCCTTCGCAGCTGTCTTCACAGTGCTCTCAGGTAAGGCAGTGGGCTTCAGGCCAGTAGCCAGAAGCATGGGATAGTGTCAGTGAATGGAGCAAGAGTACACCATACCCAGGTGCTTAGAGCCACAGAGAAACCTTCACAATGGACCAAACCTTGGGTTAAGTCCTGGTTGTACCTACTGGGTGACCTTCTGTGCCCTGAGCCTCAGTTTTCCCATTTGTAAAATGAGATTTGTTTGCTCACTTATTCACTCATTCAGTAAGTATGTATGGAGCCTCTGTCATGTGGCAGGCACTGTGCTGAGTTCTGTGGTTATAGTAATGGGCAAAAATAGACAGTTCCAGCCCTCATGGAGCTTAAGACTTGGAGGGAAGGTAGATTAACTTGAGATGTATTGAGGAGACAAAAACCACAAGGCTTGGTGATGGATTTGCGGGATGAGGGAGAAGGAGGTGGTTGTGCAGAACTGGACAGATGGTGGTGCCATTCACAGAGATGTAAAGTGGAGGAGGAGGCTATTTGGGGTGAGGGCGCATCACACATCTGCTTTAGCTTATTTGCTTTTGAGGCACCCAAGTGGAGATGCCACGTAGGAAGTTGGCTGAACAAACACATCTGGAAACACAGGGGCAGGAGTAGGGTGGGCAGATATCTTAGAGAAAAATCTAAGGAGCCAAGGATTTTGAGGGTTTTATGAAGAATCATATACATCCTATAATATGCATATGAAGGTCAACAGCATCATATGCCTCAGAGAGGTGGAGACAGAGGACCCCAAGACAAGGCCATTGGATTTGGTGGCCAGATGCCCAGAGCACAGTTTCAACAGATCCAGATCCTAAGGGGTTAAGTGGGGTGTGTGCCAGAAAGGAGTGAAAGGAGCCCATAAACTATAACTTCAGAGTAAACTGACGGAGAGAGTGGTGGCTTGGCTGTGTCAGACATCTGTTCCTAAAAAGCCAAATGTAAATTGAATTTCTATAGATTTAACTTTATTCTTTATGCACTGAAAGAACTCTTTACTTAATGAAACTGAAAAGATAAGCCTTTTGGTAAAGGAAATAAGGGCCCCCTAATTGAGGTATGTCTATACATATGATTATGAGGCTTATTAGGGAAGTGACAAGTTACAATTCAGGGTCAGGAGTGCTCAGGGGACAGTTCTTCCATCAGGACAGCCTCTTCTCAGCTGTACTCACAGGCGGTTCTCTCCCCGGCCCTTGGTCCCTGGACCTGGCCTCTGCCATGCTCGGGCAAGTGTTACAAAGGTCTTTTAGCTCTGCCAATAAGTGCCCCGAGGCACCCCACTCCACCAGTAAACCTCGGCCCCAAGGCCCTCAGCTCTAGCTCCATGGGTTGGCAAACCTAGCTCCACCAAGTATCCGGAGGCACCCCACTCCACCAGCAAGCCTTCTGCCTAAAGGCACTCAGCTTTCTCACTGTGTGGGCCAGGAAGCCCACTGCGCCATCTCCTACTGGTCTCTCCTGCCACATTTTCTGTGCCTCCACATCTTGCCGTCTTCAGTGTTACAACTTTCTCTCTCTCTCTCTTTCTGTCTCCTGGTTCCAGGAGCTTCTCAGCACAGGGATCCCAGGTCCAAAGGACACACTCCGCTCCTTACTCTTCTTCCTTGTTGGTGGTGAGATCCTCTCCTTTCCACCTCTGGGATGGCTCATTTTAAGCCTAGCAGGATGGCAAAACTGATCAGTCCCTTTGTTAGGGGTCCATATACCTGATTAGCATGGTCACACCCAATTATTTGGTGGGAGTTATAAGACCATGATGAGAAAGGCCACACAAAAGCTATCCACTGCACCACAGGCCACCCCTTGGCTTTTCTAGCCATGATTCTTTCATACACATACCTCATTACCACCAAGCAAGAAGAGCCAGGAGTGGAGCACATCCTTTGGAACTGGGGTCCCTGCACCAAGAAGCTCCTAGACCAGGGAAGATTGATGACAAGGACCTTCCCCCAGAGCTGACACAGAGAGAAAGCCTTCCCCTGGAGCTGGCACCCTGAATTTGGACTTCTAGCCTCTTAAACTGTGAGAGAATAAATTTCTGTTTGTTAAAGCCATCCATTTGTGGTATTTCTGTTATAGCAGCACTAGATAACTAAGATAGAATTTGGTACCGAGAGTGGGATGCAGCTCTAACAAATGTCTAAAATATGGAAGCGGTTTTGAAACTGAGTGGGTAGAGACTGGAAGAGTTTTAAGGTGCCTAATAGTAAAAGCCTAGATTGCCTTGAAGAGACTCTTGGTGGAATTATGGACATCAAAGAACATCCTGGTGAGGACTCAGAGGAAGTAAGGAAAGCTGTAACACTGAAGATGGTGCAGTTGGTAAGAAGCCGTGGCAGAGAAATGGTGGCAGCAGAACTATGAGACTGGCACGAGACGGCACAGGAGCCGACGCACAGAGCAAGAGAGCTGAGTGCCTTTGGGCAGGAGGCTTCCTGGCAGAGTGGGGTGCCTCTAGGCATTTATTGGTAGATCTAAAGAGCTTTGTAACACTTGCCCTAGCAGGGCAGAGTCTGGGGCAGCCCAAGAGACCCAAGGGTCCGAGCAGCCAAGGAACCAGGGAGCGGAAGCTGAAGCTGAAGAGACAAGGAGTACAGGAAGCAGAGCCCTGGTGGCGCAGTGGTTAAAAGCTTGGCTGCTAACCAAAAAGGTCAGCAGTTCGAATCCACCAGCCACTCCTTGGAAACCCTATGGGCAGTTCTACTCTGCCCTATAGGGTCGTTATAGGTTGGAATTTACTTGACGACAATGAGTTTGGTTTGGTTTGGATATGTGTAACAGACGGGGTCCCGCAAAGGACAGAGAGCTGAATTCAAGAAAGGGTAGCCTGCACTATAGATTAAAACACGGGTGACCTGTCATTCCCAGGGTGTGGGGAATCTCAGCGTACTTGAAAAGGGAAGAAAAGAAAAACATAACAATTCTCACGGCAAAAGGTCAATTTTGGGCCCTGCTCACCCCAGCCCCAGGTATTCAGGACTGAAGTCCTGTTTGTTATATTTGCTCAATCAATATTCACTGAAGGTTTACTGGGCACCAGACACTGTACCAGGTTGGGAGAGTTGAAGAAAAACAGACTCAGTCCTTGCCCTCGTGAGGTTTACAGTCTTATAGAGAGGCAGGCATGTCCAACAATCATAACTTAATATGTTGATCTCTATGAACCAGGTGTGTTGAGAATCCTTGAAGAGGGGCACCTACATTTACCCAGAGAGTGGGGGGTGGGGTGGGGTGAGGGGTGGAGAAGGCAACACTTGAGCTGGGATTTGGAAAATAAGTAAGCATTTGTTTGTTGGACAACTTGGGGAGGAGATTCCAGGCAGAGGGAACAGCATGGGCACAAGGCTATGAGAAAGGGGGCCTGTTCTGGGAACTTTGGAGTAGTTGAGAACAGTGGAGGGCAGGGAGAGTAAGAGTGATGAGAGATGAGGCTGGAGAGCTGTTGAAGGTCTTGGTGCTTTGCAGAGGTCTTTAGATTTTACTAGGTAGGCGATAGGGAGCCACTGAGAAATTCAGAGCAAGGGGTGATGTGGCCAGGTTTGCAATTTGGAATGACCTCTCTGGGTTCAGAGTGGAGGACGGATGGAGAGGAGCAAGAGTGGAGGCGGGGAGGCCAGCCTGGAGGCTGTGGTAGTAACTGAGGTGAGAAACGGTGAGGCCCTAACCCAGTGCAGTGGGAATGGAAAGATGCAAGCAGCCATGCTGACAGTAAAGAGCCACAGTCACCAGGGCTTGGGGGCTGATAAGGAGAGATGGTGGGGGGCGGGGGAGGAGGGGGAAGGGGCTATTAAAGAAAAACAGAATCTAGGTCAAGGGTTCCTAACTTGGAGTCCACAGAATTCAGGGGATTCATGGATGTGTATGGGGGGAAAAAAAAATCTTTATTTCCCTAACTTCTAATTGACATTTAGCATTTCCTTCCAATATGAGTGGAGGCAACAAACCACAGTCGTGGGAGCAGCACCTGTGATGGAGCCACTGATTGAATTCCATATTTTTCATATCATACTACTGTTGTTGCAGATATCTTGAAATGCACTGTTGCAAACGTACAATATTTATTAGAGACCCCACTGACCCTTGTTGTTTAATGTGTTAAAGAGGGAATACACAGGTTCCTATGTCACAATTTGTTCTACTATTTTGCCAGCCATATTTCCATATAATTGGCTTCCTCTGTAATCATATGTGATTTGTGTTATGCAGCTGAAAACATTATTCTGAAAAGGGGTCCATAGGTCCTGATGCCAGAGGGTCCATGGCATAAAAAAATGAAGAGCCTCTGGTCTGGGTGGTGGCCTGGCTGGTGTTTGGCTTGGGACCTGATGGGCAATGATCTCACTGAGATGGGGAAGGCAGGAAAAGAGCAGGTTGGGGGAGATGGTCAAGTTCCATCTTAAATGGGCTGGGCATGATGTACTGTGGGTCATCCAGGCTCGTCTCCCTTGTCAGCCTCTTCATCCTTTTCTTTCCTTCCACCAACCATCAAAGAATCCCCTTTATTACCCCAAGCATCTTTCCCTTCCCCTCAACTTGCTTACTCCAATCACAAAACAAAAATTGGTTGTCAACCAAAGGCAGCTATCTACAATTCTTCAAGCATGCTACTTGGGGGGGGGGGGCTCTTTCCTCTGTCTCAAAGGGCTTATTAAAGTTTTCACCTCCCAAAAAACAAAACAAAACAAAAAAAACCTAGGTTCCCTCCTAGTGGGGAGTCCCACTGAGGAAGAAAATAAGATTGTGTCCATAATTTCAGGCAGATAAACAATCCATGGCTCAGAGAGGTTAATTGACTTGCCCAAGGTCACACAGCTGGTAAATTGCGGAGCTGGGATTAAACCCAGCTCCAGCTGGCTTCAAAGCCCTTTGCTCTTTTCATAATATCACACCGCAGGAGTGACCAGGAGAAACAGAGCTGGCTTTTAGTCCTCAGAAAACAGTAACTGAGAAGTATGAAGCCAGATGATGTAATAAGAACAAAGCAGCAAGCGGTGGTGAGAAAGAAT